GAGCCAGGCGGATCTCTGTGAGTTCGAGGCCAGCCTGGGCTACCAAGTGAGTTCCAGGAAAAGGCGCAAAGCTACACAGAGAAACCCTGTCTCGAAAAACCAAAAAAAATAAAAAAAAAAAAAATAAAGGATACAATTCAAAAATGGAATACAACAGACAATAATACTCATTACATTCTGAAATCATCAAAAATATTATATACATTTGTAAAATTCAGCATCTTCCTGGCTTTATTTGATAAATTTGTACTCAAGAGAATGTATGTCCTTGAGATCTTAACGTCATGTTTCATTGACCAATTTCAACCCTGCTGCAAGGACTTCCTAAAATGAATCTCTATAGTGCTATACTTACATCTATAGATAAACAACTATTTCACCTAGTAAATAGTGTTTACACTGACTTTATATCCTTAATATTAGATAACTGAATGTAATAAGACAGAATATTACAATTTTTTCCAAGGTTACATATGCTGACTCCAGTAATATGTTATTTGTTTGAGCTAAACATTCAACTTGAAGTTTGATTTTGCATCATACATTTCTTTTTCTTTTCTTCCTTCCTTCCTTCGTTCCTTCCTTCCTCCTCATTCCTCCTTCCTTCCTTCCTTCCTTCCTTCCTTCCTTCCTTCCTTCCTTCTTTCTTTCTTTCTTTCTTTCTTTCTTTCTTTCTTTCTTTCTTTCTTCCTTTCCTTCTTTCTTCCTTTCTTTCATTCTTTCTTAGTCTCACTCTGTAGTCCACTGGCTTCAAAATCATGGAAATTCTCCTGCCTCAGCTTCCCATGTCTAAGCTTTTCAGGTGTGAGCCATCATGCCTGTATGTATCATATAGTTTATGAGAATATTCATAGAGCATATTCAAAGGACTCTGGGATGTGTTCTCATCTAGTTTCAAGAAAACATACAGACTAATGTATGTCTGAAGGAAACAATAATTCAATTCCATAATGTTAGAAAGTGATTTCTAAGCATTTAACATTGTAAATAATCTTTATTACAAACTTTGTATTCCCTGAAATAAGTCTTTCTAATACTACACTTTGAATCAGTCATTTTTATTGAGTTACATTATAATTAGTTGAGTATGTCTCCCTCTCTGCCCATCTTTCTATCTTTTTAATCTCTCTTTGTATGTTTACTTATTCCTTACAATATGTATCAAGCATTCTTCAAAGCAATAGTTATATGTGATAAAAAGTAATATAAATTAAGATTCTAAAAGACATTTGGAAGTGAAGCTCCAAAGTAAATTTCTTTTGCTATGAAGGAAAACTGCTGTGGGATGTTCTGTATGGCAAATGTGTTGCTGATTGGTCAATAAATAAAACACTGATTGGCCATTGGCTAGGCAGGAAGTATAGGCGGGACAAGGAGGAGAATAAAACTGGAATGTGGAAGGCTGAGTCAGAGAGACACTGCCAGCCGCCATGATGACAAACAGCATGTGAAGATGCCAGTAAGCCACGAGCCATGTGGCAAGGTATAGATTAATAGAAATGGATTAATTTAAGATATAAGAACAGTTAACAAGAAGCCTGCCATGGCCATACAGTTTGTAACCAATATAAGTCTCTGTGTTTACTTGGTTGGGTCTGAATGGCTATGGGACTGACAGGTGAGAGAGATTTGTCCTGACTGTGGGCCAGGCAGGAAAACTTTAGCTACAGAAAACCTTTACTAACTAATTTCAAAAGTACCTGTCCCTATTTAATTTTAAACATTAAAACTACCACATTGTTTAATCTTTTACAAATAGAATATCTTTAATTAATTCTTTGATAATTTCATTTTCATATATGTAAACAATGTATCTTGATCATGTCCACCTCTAACTCAATTCCTTAGTACCGCCATAATAAACACAGACTATATCTTCTTTCCTGATACACTTTTTCCTTTTTGGTAACAAATGAATTCACTAGTACTTCTGTTTGTCATGTTGACTGATCTTGCTGGCTTGATTTTATGTCTGTCCTGTGTAGATAGTAACGGCTGCAGTACGTTCGTCAGTGCAACAGTCATATCATGTCCCAAAGACAGCATTTTATAGTATTCCTTCTATCATCTGGCTTTTACATTCTTTTCACCCCCTCTACTGCGATTATTCCTGAATCTTGGATAGGGAGGTGTTGATATAGATGTCCCATTTACTGCTGAGCACTCACTGGTCACTTAGTCTCAGCATTCTGACCAGTTATGATGCTTTTAACAGCTAAATACTGCAAGAAGGCGCTTCACTGACCCAGGTCAGGGGCAGCACTAATCTATGAGTCTACACATAAATATTTAGAAAGCAGTTTGACAACTTGGCCATTTAGCACCAGCAGTAGGCTGCTCCCTAGGATCCATTGTGATTCATGGTCTTTTGACCAGGTTTACAGTGCTGGCATGAATTCCCTCTTGTAGAACAGATTTTAAATCAAGTCCAAAAGTGATTGGTTACTATCTTAGTTTGCTTTTCATTGCTTTGATAAACACCATAACCAAAGAGGTTTGGGAAGAAAAGGATTTATTTAATTTATATACCCAGATCAAGTCCATTACTGAGGGAAGTCAAGGTAAGAACTTAAACAGACAAAAAATTTGGAGGCAGAAACTAAAGTTGAGATCTTTGAGGAAAGATGCTTACTGGCTTTAATCTCACATTTAGCAACCTTTCTTATAAAATACTAGAACCACCTGTCCAAGGGTGGCATCACCCACAGTGGCTGGGCTCTTCTATACTGAACAATCAAGTAAATGACCCACAGACTTGCCTACAGGCCAGTCAGATGGAGGCAACTTCTCAATTAAGGTTCACTTTTACCAACTAATCTAGTTTGTGCCAAGTTGACAAAACAAATAAACAAAACAAAACAAAAGACATAATAGTTACCCACATAAACTTCATGCCACTGATGTACCTGTAAACACGGTTTGCCTGGGAGATTGGAATTGTAGCATCCAGGGTTCATGTGAGCTGATAACCATGTCTCCCTCAATGGCCCGCACAGCACCTTCTAGCAGGATGAAAGCTGGCCAATAGCGAAGTTTGCAGGCCAATTCCAGCTTAATTTCTCTCGGTCCTGCCACCTGTCTTTAAAATAGGGTCTTACCATCAAGTTCTGGAGGCCAACCAAGAACAATGGAAATAGCCTGTGCTGTTTTGGAAGTCTTCATGGCCTCCCTGACCAATAACTCATAGGGAGGTATCCCAGAAACCGGCACTAGGATTTTAATTTAATAATTCAAATCTTCACGTGGAAGCATTGTCCACACAGGTGCTAGTGTTAAAACTCCTGTCTACTTATATTTTAAAGCTTTGCTTGCAGAGTTAATAGGCTTCTGTAGGTGTTTTTCATACATCACTAGTTTTGCTTAACCCACATTCAAACTTTCTTTTCCCCTACTCCCATCTCCATTCATATTTGAACTAATAGCTTTCATTATTTCCCATTTTGTTTTCATATCATGTTTATTTTACCATCACCTTACTCCTTAGTTCTGGGCCTTATTTGTTCTCATAACCCCTTTCTAGTGTCCTGATATTCTGTCTTTGAAATTCAGTACTACAGGAGATGTGATGATAATGCTTGATAGCCAGAAAAAAGCATGGGCAACCAACACAAAGCATCATCTTTTTGGTATTGTTTGAGAGTTCATTTTCCATAAACAGATGGTTTCAGGAGACTGAATTACAGGCAAAACAAGTCTTAATATTTTGCAATAAAGCAAAGAGTTTTTATCTTGATAATTGGTAAAACCAATTCCATGCTTCAAAAATTTTTAAAAAAAGTGTTTCATTTAGAGACAAATACTTGACAAAGAGCAATTGTGATTTTAAAAGAATGGTTCCACAGAGTCAATATTTGCCAAGATTTTATTTTAACTTCAGTTTTATTTTTAAACTACTTTAATTAGTGGAAAAATTTTAATTCCCACCTATACCAATGACAAAGCTGGAGTCTGGACCTAGAATGAAGTCCAAACCCTCCAAGTCTGTTTTATTACAAACAAATAAATTCATTAAATAATATATTCATGTTTCATTTTGTTATAATATAAATATGAAAGTTTTCAATGAAATGAATTTATAAGGAAGCAGTTTATGTAAGAGAAGTTTAAGTAAAGAGTCATTCAATTGATTTATTTTAATTTGAGAAATATAAAGGTAACTATTTAAGAGGTAAAATGAAGATGTTAGAAACTCTGGATTTTAAGTAAAGATTTGGATATTATCAGATTGTAGATGATGAAAATTCTTGGACTGGAAAAATAATGGAAAAATATGCATATTCACAAAGTCAAGAGCTGATGTGCTACCCCTGAAAGACCTTGTACTATGGAAAAAAAATGGTCAGTGCAACATATATTGAGGATGCAATCAAGGAAAGAAAACTGGGAGAATTACTAAGATGTAATACTTTAATCAAATGATCACCCTCATGTAGAAGTAACTGTCTTTTAAATAAGAAACACAGAGCCAATGTAAAAATAAAAGCCCAAGAGGTCAGAGCTAAGAGCCTTACCCTTCCTGCTTCAGTGATCCTCTTCAGCCAAGAGAGACCTACTTCCTATGTGTTTGTCTTTATATAGATTTTCTGTTCTGCCTTCTCATTGGTTGTAAACCCAACCACATGACTGCCTCATTACTGCCTGTTTGTACAGACCTCCAGGTCTTCTATGGTTGGTATTGAGATTAAAGGCGTGTGTCTCCAATGCTGGCTGTATCCTTGACCACACAGAGATCTACCTAGCTCTGCCTACCAAGTGCTGGGATTAAAGGCATGCACCATGAACGCCCAGCTCCACTACGGCTTACTATTAGCTCTGACCCCCAGGCAACTTTATTTATTAGCATACAAATAAAATCACATTTCAGTACAAATAAAATATCACCATACCCTCACAGTAATTCCCTGGACACAACTACAGTTTCCTCCATGGCATGCTTGTTAATGACAGTGATTGAATCAATGTGTGTTAACAATACTACACATAATAGTTGCATAGTAAGTTTAGGTATCATACTCTATTCCATTTAACATCATCTTTTCTGTTAAGAGGACTAGCTTTAGTGCAGCCTGAAAGGAGAGAAAGAGAATATGGATGTGATGTATCAGCCCATTGGGTGAGGGTTAATCTGTATGCTCAGCCTTTGCTATGGCGAAGTCAGACTGGGAGTCTACTGTGATTTATGCTGGATAGTTTTGGTAGTCTTTCTGAAAGAGAAAAAGATTACTTTCTGAGACTGAGGCAATTAGAGCTTATGAAATTGTGAGAAGGGCAAGGCTGTTAACTGTTTTAGAAAAGAGTGAGATGGAAGTTAGTTTTAGCTCTAGTAAGGAAACATTTTCTAAACATTTTTGATTGCTCAGGAAAATTTCAGAAACACAAATGGGTAGAGCAATGGTTGTATTGTTGGAAGACTTTTTTTTTTTTTGCTTTTCAATTTAGGGCCTGGGTTAGACAGTGGTAGAAGTATGTTTTATGAATTTATGGGGCCAGGAATTTTTCAATTGAGTGGTAGAAAGGCAATGTACACTATTAAATAAGATGCAAAAATGATCTTCGATAAAGTCCAGATGAGGCAAAGGGAAACAGAAACAAGTAAATGTGATAGAGGAATCATTAAGTAATTGGACAATAGCCTCCTGCTTTCCACCTTTCCAAAACATATATTGTGTAACGACTTTCTTCTGAAAATGAGTCTTAATGATTTACCACTTCAAATCAACTGATTAATGCAAGGTTCAAGGCCATGATAACTTATACCTCTGCCTCACTGGCGCATTTTTATTAAGTACTTTCCATCCTCTGATGTTCTCACAATGTGCTCAGCATGTTTCATGTACTGCATTCATGTACTTGGTGTAGGAATTTGCTTTTATCATTTCTTTTGTTAGAGTCATTTTCTTCTAGATCCTTCAGACAATTGACACTTCACTGCTCAAAGTTCTTCCAGCTTCTATAAGTATTTTACTTGCCTACCCTTTCTAAAAGAGCCCCCCATTGTTCTGTTTTAGTCTTCCTTGGTGAAGTCACCGCCATGTAACATATCACCTCCAGCTCTTTTTCCTCTTTGTTATTTTCTTTCCGTGGTTAAAATGTGAACATGATGAAATGGTGTCTTTGATTTTGCTGTAAAACATCTACTAAGTTGTTCAACATATCTTAGACACTCAACTCTGCTAAGAATAGTCTAAAGTCTTGATAGAATTTCTTTAAATGTGTCAGTTCTTAGAGACTGACTGCCTTCTACAGGTTTATTATCTGCTCAAATCCTGAGTATGGCTTAGTGAGAACTCTGATAGAATTTTGGGGGTGAGGTGGTATGTATAGATAAAGAAGGAGGGAAAAATTTAACAATTGGTGCTTACTGGTAAAAACACAGAAATGTTAAAGCCAATAAATCTGTAAGCATTCCAAGGTATGAGAGAACTACTTGGAACTAATGGCCTCAAATTAAAACAAATATTTCAGTACTTTCCATGATTGTTTAACTTTTATTTTTATAGATCTGGTTGTTCTAGTAAGAGTAGCTTGGTCTCCGGCCACACTAGTGGAAGCCCATGAACTGTGGACTGGTGGCTGTGGAGCCCACATGGGACTGGACTAGGCCCTCGGGATATGGAATATGTTTGTTTGGCTCGAACTGTTTGAGGGGCACCAGGGCAGGGGGATCGTGATATGTCCCTGGTTTGTGGGCAGGCTTCTGGGAATCCGGTGCCTGTGGTGTGGCACCTTGTACAGCCTTGGTGCAGTGGGAAGGGGCCTGGACCTGCCTAGGCTCAGTATGCTGGGCTCTGCTGACTCCCCATGGGAGACCTCGATTTGGGGGATGTGAGGATGTGGGGTGGCTTGGGAAAGAGGGCTGGGGGGTAAGAGGATGGAGGAGGGGGGATCTGTGGATGGTATGTGGAGTGAGTGAAAAATTTCTTAATAAATAAAAATGAAAAAAAAAAGTAGCTTGGTCTAAATGTATGATGAATCTGAGTGAAAAGATCACACAGTAAAATGCATTTAAAATTTTAATGCTTTGATAAGAGAGAATCTGGTTCTTATCTCAGAATTAGTACTGAAAAGACCTCAGTTAAGCAATACAGTTAATGTGGTTCCATAATCCAAAACTGGCATATCCAATACAATACACAAAGAAGATCATAAACAACACAGAAAATATCCCATTCTCTCTTTCTTTGGCTCAATATTGTTGTCTTTTCAAGAAGCATCTTAGGGAATGTTGATAGTAGGAGATAATGTGATGGATGGGGAAACTAAGCAGAAATCAATTTTCTACTCAAACCTATGAACAAAGAGAAAATAATGGATTATCAAAAATATGTATTACCAAAATATATAATATGCATAAATATATGATCTATACAAGCATTCAAACTTACAGAGTGGCCAGATATAATTCTTCATAATTAACACTAGTTGATGACATAGTAATGACATACTAATGTGGACATAGTAGCTATTGATAATTATTGTCTAAATTATACTTAGGGACTAAATTCTCCAATACATTTTATAAATAGTATTCTATGTAATTTTTCCAATAATTGAGAAATATTTATACACCTAGACCCACCACTAGGTGACTTAAAATTTTAAAGAAAGAAAATACATAGAAATAAACCTTCATATCTACCCACCCATCCTTCTATACAAAAAGCTAGACAGATATATCTTCTGCAAGTAAGACATTTTGTGTGAAATGTAAAACAAAAATATCAAGTACCAATGTACCAATATGGCCACTAATGCTTGTAGTGGATAGCTGTTCCAGCTTTGCCCTGGAAGTACCACCCCCATTGGGGCTTCCAGTAACTGTTACGCCTATGAGGCAGGGCCAAGAGAGGAGCCCTTATGACCCCCAATCCGGATGCGCGGGCTCTCTTGGATCCCGGATGCTGGAGGTAGATCGAGCAGAGTTCTCCAGAGAACACTGATGGACTGCGTTACAGCTTTCCTGACCCTGTAACCTATCCCTTTACTTGTAAGTTACACCACAAAACAAACCTCCCTTTTAACTACTTCCACCAATAAATGATGCTTTTGACAATTTCTGCTCGATGTTATTTGTCCTGGTTGAATCAACTCTGTTCCACCAAGGAATTTTTGTGTTATTTATTTTTTAGTACCCATAACTAGCATGGGTATAAAAAAATTTAGTATGTACATCCAAGTTACACAGGCAACTGAGTGGCACATCAAGAATTTAGAGCAAAACTTAAAATATTTCAATGAAGTTTTGATAAAGGGTTGAAGTGTGAGTTTTTCTTCTACTGTTGCATGAAAAACTGCAAATGTTGCTAAAAGTGTTGCTCAGTGTCTAGGCCAAATGTATTACCTATGGCTAGGATGCAGTAGCTAATCATCTTAGCAGTGTCTCTGAAAGGAGAAGTCAGTACAACACATTTTAACTCCCTAAGGATGTCTGCATTTCACCTAAAGTATCTTGTATAGTCTCTAAGCATCTGACATTGAACCTAAAGTATGAGTTTTACTTTCCATACTGAGCTCATCTAATGATTGCTTCATGCCCAGAAACATCATTCAAAAAAGCAAAAGTTGGAAGCATGCTGCAGATAAATGTCACATATGGGACTCATAGCTAAGGATTTTAATGCCAAGTCACTAATATTTATACAAAATTTTGTTTCGTGCTCCACTATTTACTCTGCATGTTAGTGGAGGAAAACATCCCAATCCAAAGGCATTTATTATGGGGATGAAGGTAGAACCACTGAGTACAGCTTCTCATCTACTCTGCTCCTTTAACCTTTCTATTCTTTTTTTTAAATTAATAATACTCAATGTTTCTACCTCAAAAATATAATATAGTATATTTATTATACTATAGTAATATAATCAAGTAATCAAGAGGTTATTAATTCTCAAAAGCTGGAACTTATGGAGATGGCTCAGCAAGTAAGAGTTCATACTTTTCTTGCCAAGAACTCCAGGAGCCATGCTGGGCAGTTCATAACTGCCTATAGATCCAGTTCTAGGGAGATCCTGTAGCTCTACCCATTGTGGGCACTTGTGCTCACATGCACATGCCCACACAGGGACACAAGCACACATACAGTTAAAAATAATACAAATAAAATGGATGAATTTTGTCCGCTGCTTGATCTTTAATTTTCCTGGAGTGTGCTCTATGTAGGAGATTAAATACAATATCAATGCAATTCTTTGTTATTGGTAATTGTCACAAACCATTACTATTCTTGATACAATTCCAAGTACTTCAATTAAATAATATGATTTTTAAATGTCCTTGACATCTTAAACTTTTATTTCTATGTAAAACATATTTTATTTCATCTTATTACATAACTTTTCTCACAAAGCCAACAATTATATTTTATATTATATTTGATTATATTATTGATATGCTAGTATTATATTTAATCATATTTCACAGGGCACACATACCACATACGGAGCATATGGGTTGGTGTAATACTTATTGGTGTTCCAGTAGGTTACAGGCACCTGCTGTTGATGAACAGCCTGGGGAAATTGAGGGATGTTGAACTGCTGAATTTGGTTGCTCTTAACCTGAAAGAAATAAAAATATCAAAAACCACTTAAGTTACTCTCCTCTAAGCTTCAAAACAGAGAGGAAGAGAAGCTAGTGAATTCTAACTTCAGCTACTTAGACACTTTCTAAATTATTTCAAGATTCCTCTAGACAAAAATTTTTCTAGTATCAAAATCAGCATAACCATTTTTATGTTACAGAACGTACTATTGAATTGAAGCAATCTTGTTAATTTATACACAGACAGAAAAATTTATAAGATTAAAAGGGAAATTTGTGTGTCAGAAGGAAGTAAGAATATTTTGATAAGCCTGATAATTTTCTCCACATATAGTTTATAAACATGTCTGACCATTACAGTCAGAGAGGCTCAGAATGATTTGTCATGACTTACTCTCTGGAATCTCTGTCTCTGATCTGGTTGCTTAATCTCTCTTAACATCACTTCCACTGCAGAGTTACCTTATCGAATATCTTCAGAGCTTTCAGACTAGCCTGTGTCGTATATTTTTATGTATAGTTCCGCTCAAGATCTTTAAACCTTGCTGAGTTGACTTTACAAGGGGTAAGTCCAGAGGATAAATACAGCTGGGAGTCCTAGTTCTTATGAATGGAAAGTTTTATTTTAATTCCAGTGAATGAGTGCATGGTGGGTTTATGGTTGTGATATGTTACTGATAGAGTGGTAGAATATGAGGAAATAATTTCTGCTTCTCCAGCATTGTACGATACAGTGTACATGTATTACAAAAATCTTTACAGTTTCTAGTTTATTCCTATGTTTGTTTTCGGTTAAAGATAAGGTAGGCAGCAGGAATGAAGTAATGAAAAACAGTGTGTCATAAAGAGTAGGGTAACAGGACTGGAGAGTCCCTCTCCTGACTACAAAGCGTGTGTCAGTTCGCCATTGGCACACATGGCTTTAGACTCAGTAAATGGTTACATCATCTGCTGTGGTTTGACACTAATCACTGGGACACCTTAATTTGAGAAATTAGGTCCTGTCAACCTATTAGAGAGAAGCTGGGATGCAGTTTTACTCTGCGGGTACTTACTCTAAATCATTTAAAATAAAAAGATGTTCTATACTGAGATTTCCAACTACTTTACAATCATTAGATAATTTCTCAAGTAATTGTTTTAAAAAAAGACCCATAATTATTTTCATACACATCCATATCAAAATAAAAATAAAAATTTAATTACTTGTCTTTTTTTATACAAAATATTTTGTTTTTAAATGTTTTCCTGGGATTGAATGATGTAACAGTATAACAGATGTATGCTTATATATGTTATATTATTTGAATTATAAACAGGAATTTTCATTATCAGTAATATTTATATAATATATTTTGATATAATTATTAAGATGAGAAATTTTTAATGTATTAGAAATTATAACTGCAAAAAATGTGATCTTTTAAATCAATTAGTTATTTATTTGTTTTATGAGAGAATGTAATCTACTTCACAAGATGAATTGCTAGAAATATCCTTAAGAAATAAAAATGTATGTAAAAGTCTGAAGGTAAGAGATAGTTAACTTTGTAATGACTCAAAATTATAAACTGTCACCTGACAAGAAAGTTCATATACCAACACAACCATCACTGTGACAGCAACAAAGAACTTTAAAAAATCAATGTAAAACAGAAAATTCAAACGTATACAAGTACAAATAATTTAAAATTTTTAATTGACGGAATTATAGACAATTAAGGGGAAGATTTTGAATAATAAGTCACTAAAAATTTACAATAAATGACATCTCCAAGCATGCTCATTCTTCATATTATAAACATTTTAAGTCACATGTGGCTGCATAAAACTAAAAAAACTTACCATATCAATAATCTTCTTCAGGATTTCCTTAAAGAAAACAAACAAATATGTAACATACATGCTGAATTGAACACTCTTTTTCCTTTGCCAAATTTATTCTTAGATATAGCAGGACTAGTCCATACGCCATAAACACAAGCATGATGATTTGCTCACTGTCTGAATGAATTATGTCTAAATTCCTCAAATAATAGGAACATACATTTACTGCTTTATTCAAGTATACACTATAAATTGAGTCTGCCCATTTTACTCACTTTCTTGTTTCTAATATCTAGAATCTTTTAGGTGAGGTAGTGATTTTTACTTATATGCTTTCTGAATAAATGGATAAATTCATGTGTTTAATTTTATAAGCACAGTAAAACATTTTAAATAATACCCTGCTTGTTGCAATTATGCTAAATAAGTATTTGCATATGAAATATTCATATCTGTTTCTTGGCTGATCTTGACATACGATTTGTATGAGAGATAATTTCAGAAAAGTTGGTAAATATTTTCTTAGTTAAGAAAGTCTAATAACAATACATTCAGAACTGCTAGGGTTTTATAACTATTGAAACCATTAAATAATAAGATCTTCATTTCTTGTGGGAAATAATTTGGTTCATCAACTTAATCCTGCAGGCTTTCGTGCTAAGTCAATAACACTTGTCTAAATATTAACTATAAAATTAAAAGCTAAACTTTAGAAGTCTATGTAATTTTGGTTGTTATGACTCACCTTCACAAAGATGCTGATGGATTCCTTAGAAAAAGAAATAAAAATAATACAGTAAATTATTTTTTTTGTAAAATATTACTTATGATAGTGCCCTCTCACTTGTCATAAGTAAGATACAAGGGAATAAAACTAGGTAAATTGTTAGATGCCATTCCAGGTGCCTTTTGGCAGGTGGCGTATACATCAGTAGGTAGGTTTTGAAATCAGCACTGATGTAAGAATTTGATCCACACTTGAGAAGCACAGCTTACAGCACTGTGGATGGACGCCACAACTTGGTTCAGTCACAGCCAACTAAAGAGATAGTTAGTATTGACTATTTTTGTTCTGATCCAATACTGTGTAAATATCTCTTTGCTAAATTTGAATGTTACTGCTTTCTTCTGATCCCATATAAATTTTTATAATTGTTACATAAAAATTTTATGCTTCTGCACATCTAACCTTATGCATAAAATAATAATTTTAATGAAGAATTCTAATGTGGTATTGAATTTTTTTCCCACAGGGAAAAAAACCTAACTCAGGGATGTTGTCTTCTTTTTTCTATAAAAAACACAACTGTTTCAGTATATGACCTACCCAGACAGCCAAGTAGTATCCCTTTCTTGGGGTGACTTATTTTAATTGGTGCTTTTTTGGAAAAAAAATTCATAGCCAAGTGTAATAGTAGCATACAAATGATTCTGCATTTGGAAAAATACTTTTCTAAATATATTTCTTATATTTTAGAGTTGTTTGGGGTATGGCTATAGATGATAGCATTGCCATATTTAAAATCGTAGAGTCCTGTCTATGGAAATGTGATAAAATTATGATATAATATTTTAGTATTTTTATATATTTCACAGTTAAGGAACTATTTACTCGGTTATATAATAAATGTTGAAAATAATGATATGATGCAGGCATCATCTAGATTCTAAGTCTAGAAGAAATGAGCAATACTTCTTATTGATGTAAATAGCTCAAGAATTAAAACATGACAAAGTGGTGGTATATTTGTCACCTACTTATAACTGATATTTACCCCAATCAAGCAAAATGGCTTTTAAAAAGCCAAATACCAAACAAAAATATAAGAAGACAGTTGTTATTATATAAGAAGACTAGTGGGACCCAAGAAATAAGAAACCAATGCATTACCTATAAAACATCATAAATTACCCTCTCTTTAAAGTTGCATATATATATATATATATATATATATATATATATATATATGCAATTTTAAATTCTCTACACCAAAACACCATGGTATATGTCAAAGGCACAGCCTTAAAGGAGGTAGAAAAGATGAAGTATCAGAGGTCAATGGTGATTTTCTAAGGAGATGTCAATTTGGGATCAAGATTGGCATTGTTATAGGATTTATTACCCTTTATAAAATAAAATATTAAGTATAAACTATCTAGTAAAAGGTAGTGAAATAGGATTGGTATATTATATGTGAATAACCATTTTTATTTACATCAAAACCACTCAGACATTTTATGTATGCAATTTAATAAGCCTTCATAATGTTGATATACAACTTTTATAGTGTTAAATCCTAATGATTTAAGGAAAATATATAGTTATTAGAGTCTCACATCATCCAAATGGCACTCACACATTGTAAGAGATTGTTTACAAGTAGTTTTTACTTACCACTTGACTTAGACTTTTGCTTAATATTTTCCACTTTTTTGGTCACCCTTTCTTCTTTCATGTTTAAACACTGGACATTTCAGACTATTGTTATCAAAATTCTATCCTGGTTTAAAAGTTGACCTTACAACTTAGGACTGGAGACACCAACCTTGCTTATAAAATGCTGGGTTTGCCAGGCAGGGTCAAGAATCTCCAACAAAGTCAAAACTATGTGGAGTAAAATGTGTGTTTTTATGTTATATCTCTTTATAGTTCTAGGGAACATCATGAAGTAGGAAGGAGCACTTGATGACAGGCACATCCTGCTTGCTACAGAGTCTTCTTTATTTGATGATGTTATTAATTAGGCTGCTTGAGACTGACCTACATAATTTCCAACTGCTTTCTAAATACCTGTGCTTACACCCACAGGTGAGAGTCGCTTTCACCTCTCATCAAAATAACTTTTTTTTTTTGGCAGGGAATAGAGATCATTAGAGAAAGAATAACTGGTCAAAATATGGAGAACAACAGAGTGTGAGGTGCCTTCCCAACTGAAATAACAACATAACTCCTGACATGCAAGGCTCAGGGAACATGGTGGGAGAGGGGGCAAAAATACTCTCAGGGCCAGAGGAGCAGGCCATCTGCTGTGAGATAGTTCTCTAGATATGACAGGGAAGCCGCACCTAGGAAATCTTAACAATAAGGCTGCCTAAAACCAAGACCTTAAAAATGGCAACATCAATTGCCATGCCTACATGGATCAGGGATTCTCATGGGGCTTTGCCTCTAGATGTGTGAGAGAGAGAAATAGTCTTCTCCAGGAAAAACCTCCTGATCAAGTTGCCAATCCCAGGAGATTACATATCTACATAAATATATGTCTATGCTTTTTATGGAACAATTAATTAAAGAATAAAAGGCCATGAGTTTGAGGAGTGGGAGGGAGAAGGTAGAATGGAATGATACAAATTAATTACTCATATATGAAATCCTTAAAAACAAAATCATGAAATATGACTATTGTAAGAAGGACTTTAAATAACTACTTGTTATTGTTCTGCTCTGGGGTTGGAGATGTCTAGTTGACTGTGCTAACAGCTGTGATCTACTAGCTAATCTGCAATCTTTGCTTGCCAATGCTGCCCTCTCCTGGACATCATAACATATCAAAGCCTTTCTATTTCAGCGGCACAGATTTTTAACATTTAAGATGTTTCATAATCTTCTAGCGTTCAAGACAATATACAGAAGCTTATTTAGTCTAATGATAGTGATGGCTTCTTAACTTGTGGAGACACTTAAGGAAAATAATTCACAAGAAACACAGAGAAGGACGATCATGTCCCCCAAGGTCATGTACCACATGGCTTGCTTATGGCAGTTCGGCAGCTGGCTCCTGTACACCTGACTTCACACCTCAAGCTAAAGATAAGACCCTGACTCCTGCACTGTTTCCTTCAAGACACTTGTTTCTCCTTTTTTTCAAAGACAGAAACCCTTATTGAAATGGACCCAGCAAATAGAACTTTAACAATTGGATGGACTTCTTTAGAGTTCAGATTGCTTCTGAAAATGAAGATAATATTTTCTGCTTCACAGACATGCTGTCATAATCACATCAAATCACACATAAATGCACATTTATTAGAGTTATATGTAATTTGCTTTTTCTTTGAGTTATTTATAATGCTTTTTAAATAGTAAATTGTCTATATGGTTTATTTTGATTTATGTTCCATAAAAATTATTAAAATTTTGTTTTTTTCTTTCTATATTCAAATTGATTGGAACATTTTCTTTTAGTTAATTATTTTTCAAATGAAGGTAACAGTCAAAACAACACAAGTCAAAAATGCAGCACTCACCTGGTCGGGAATATTACGGATGGTCTGACCCTGGGCCCACTGGTTCACATCAGTCTGCTGTTGGGCAACAGGCAGGCAAAACTGGGGGCAGAAAAAGTCCTGGGAAAACTGCTTGATTTTTTTCTAGAAGGGAATAAATGTACCAGTATTTATGGAGTGACTGTTTCCTATGGGTCAGAGTGCATCTGTATGAAATCAAATCTATATAAATATCAAAACTATAATTTTGTTTACTAAGGTCTACTAAGCAGACAACATTTTATTATATAATACAATGTAAAAGTGAATTAAGTGAATTTTAGAATTGAAGGAATTATTAGGTTAGGATTCCAGACGTAAGTGTTTACTCTATGTGAAGGGCAAAGTATTATGTAAATGTAGAAGTTGAGAGTTGTCCGAGGAATATCTGACATTGCTGTTTCTTTTATTCACATTTCTCTCAAGAAGCTTGATGCCTGCACTCTTAAATAGTGATATTTATATTTACTTTGTTGTAGGATAACTTCTTAATGGCTTCCAGCATCACTGTTTGAGAAATCATGTGAGCTGATGGATGTACTCGCATGTATAGTACCTATCTTATATACCTATCCTGGAATGATCCAACTTTGACTTGGCTGTAGCTAGCTGCCTAAAATAATTGTGTTAGCTGAAGTTGAAACCATATTTTTTAAAAAAGCACATTTATTTGCAGAGAATTTTCAGTCCACACAGATAATAACAGAGTAGATGTACAGAAGAACATTAATGTATATGTTTGGGTGTCAGGTTAGATGGGCACATACATGAGAATGGTATAATGGTGTGAAAAATAGTATTGTATAACTATTTCTTTAAAGTAGATTATTTTACCTTGTTTTTAATAGTACAATGTACTATTTTGTTATGATAGTCTTAGAATGGATTTTTTGACATGTATAAAATCAGTGATTATTATCCTTTTGTTTATTTTCTCAAACTTCTACTATGTAGCTTGCAATTATCCTCTAACATTCTTTTCAAACCTACAGCTGAGGTGTCAGTGGTTTGTTTTTGGGTTAAAGAAAATGTAGTATGGAGGAGTTAAGTAATTGCTCAAGGAGTTAAAGTTGGAAAGGAATTTGACTGATTTCCATACTTTCTTGCACTGTACATCAGAATGAGAACATTTAGTAGCACTTGCTGTTAAATTATCTATCTTTTCTTGTTGACTTAAAGAGAAGCATTTTGACTAATTACATGACTAAGAAAATACAAAGATATCTCAAGGAAATCAGTTAAAATATTTTTCTGAGTTTTTAAATCCTTTTGAATTTAGTTATATTGCCTGGGTTTTGTTAAAATTCTGCAATTTTAAGATATTATTCACATATATGGTACCAGTTTTTGTCAGAATTTGATATTAAATATTTTCTCAGAAAGAAATGATCGCGACAAACTTACCTGCTCATTTAGGTTGACCTTTTCTTCTTCAGACTGTACAATTTTCTGTTAAAAATATTATACATATCAGAGAGATACAGATAGAAATGCTGCTAATCAAAGTAACTTATTAACTTAGTTGAATTATAATTACTTACGTCACTGATTTTCTCCTCAGATTCCTAAAGCAAAACATGAAAAGAAGTAGTTTTACTTGAATGATATACCAATAGTTAAATATACATGATTTTAGTGGAAAGTCAGGGGCCATTATCCAACTACCCAGGACTAAGATATTAAGCCATTTAAGAACTCAATAGGCTAAATATTCATCAGAACTCCCTTAAGTTTCCTTTTTCCTTTACAAAAGTAATACCATAATTAGAATATATTTTAATTCAGGACTTTATTAATACTATTTTATTCAGATTTTTTAAATTTCTAGACATGGAGTACAGACAAGAGATCAAAATAAACAAATAAGACCTATCATGATGTTAACTCATGCTTGTAATCCCAGCATACTCTGTAAACTGAGGCAGTAGGACTACTATGGCTTCAAGGCCAACCTTGGTTACATAGTTATAGAGTTATCCAGTTAGACCCTGAGTCCCTTCCTGGAAAATGTATGAGAGAAGAGTAGGGGAGGGAGCGTGTTTGTTGGGAAGTAAGGTGAACTACACCTCATGGGTCTTCACACAGTGACAGATAGGACAGGAAGCTCCCAGTCTGAGACTGAGACATTATTTAGAGAAATGCTGAGACATGTTTTCTGAGACATCGGCTGTAAAGAGCTTAGGCATCATCCAAGGTCACTAGGCTCCAGATTATAACCAAATACAGTACTGCAAGCCCTTCAAAGGCATACTTCAATCTGTCTCCATTGTGGTCAACCAAAGGTATAGAAGGTATTGGCAACATACATAATATCTCACCCAAACCTTCTTCTAACTCTATTGAAATGGTTCTCAATGTTTAATATGATAGTGTTGTATTAAAGATTTAGTTCCTGATTCAACTTCTCATGGAGTCACATGTACAGCAAAGAACAGGGTGTAATAAATAATGATTTTATGAATTTAGTCAATTTAAGCTATGATGGGAGCTTTGAGAGCCTTTCCTTCCATTGAATATTTATATGTTTATCTCCTAGGAAATATCGTTAGTAAAGAACACTATGGCTAAGTCACTATTTCTCAAAATAACACAGAATAAATAATAACTTACCTCACTGGATGAACTGCTAGCAGAGTCCTTGATAAATGAAGTAAAAGTGAAACAAAAGAATTGGTGACATGAAGACAGATTTCTCAACAATATTCCTCAAGAAGCAGCAATTACCTTAACTTCATACCATATTGATATCCTACTGTATTACTAATATGCAAAATGAGAAAGAGGATAGAGACAGAGCATTAAATCGTGATTCATAGGCACTGACTATTAACCACATTCAGGAAAATACATGGGAAAGATGCAGTTTAACAGGTATGGAAATGGGGTTATTGAACATAGAGGAATGTGAAGGGATAAAATTAATGCAGCTAGAGTCAAATTATAGTCCAAATGACTATAGATGCCACCTTCTGGCTTATTTAAGGAGGGATATCATGAAAGGTCTGTGGGATAGTAGCAATATTTCATATCAAGTATAAGTATTGTTATTCAAATATAGTTAAGATGAATAAAAATCTTTCAGTACCTCATGTATTTTTATTTGTGGTTTTCTCATTGACAAAGAGAATTACTCACATTACTCCTACAATATTATTTATGAAATAAGAGAAAACACATTTTCCTTAGAAAGAAGTATACTAATAACTTATCTCCACCTTATGAGTTTATATCAAAATGGTCCACTGAAAATGTGGCTTTGAAAAGAGATGCAGATATCCTTGTGGAATCTTCTCACATTATTGCATCATGGCTAAGATTATAAAAACATTGATCATCTGAAGTTCAAAGTTGAATAAATAGCAGTCATTTGGCCAAGTGTGCAGCACAGGCGTTAATAAACGCATTTTACCTGAGTCGTTTGGAAGAACGCATCATTGTCCTGCTTATAGTTCTGGAAAGAAAGAAATGACATGAATTTTATAGCCATACGAGTTGAAAAATATTTGAAAATGTATTTAATTTAAGAAACTATGACTTACTCTGTGGACGATTCTTGCAGATTCCTTAGGAAAAAAAATGATAATGCATTTTGATTACTTAATGAATTCTTTAACCTGTACTACCCAAAGAAGTATGGATGAACACTGACTGTCGAATACAAGAGTTTCATCGTAATGAGTTTTGAGATGACAGCAGCAAAGAGGGAAAGAAAAATTTTTCTCAAAATATTCTTTTGATTTTTAAGTAAAATCATGGCAGGAGAGCAGAGCAATTTGTTGGGTGCCATCAAAGTGGAACCTGTTAGTGAAGCACGGGAAGAAGACAGTCATCAAGTGGAGCTCTACGCAGGTGTAGCTGTGCCTGCATTTGGTACTCTAAAAGTAGATATAACCAATTACTGTCATCAGTCACAGCACAATGGGATTCCTGTTGTGTGACATCAGAATTACTGAACGATGAGACAATCGGCATGAGGAAAGTATATTTGATGCTGTTGTATATTTTGGTTTATTTTCCCCATAATTTTTTTATTTCAATGGACAATTAATTTAATTTTCCTCTGGCTTTATAGGGCATTCTTGCTGCCCATAAAAATCTTAATAAACAAAGACATATAATTTACGATTAGGTGCCAGAATTAGTATTCCATAACAAAATACCTTACCTCAATGGATTGATCCTTTATCACCTATATAAATAAAAATAAACATAAATTTAATTTCTATGGCTTATTGAAAATGGCAAAATATATCTCTTTTTTACTGCTTATAATGGCAGTGAAATTTAAAACAAAAGCTGAGACAAGTGAAGTAACTCAGCTGGCATAGGTACTTGCCACCAAGCATGAGAACCTGAGTACATCCCCAGGACCACATGGAAGGCAAGAACGGCTTTCTAGTTCCTATAAGCTGTCCTCTGACTTCCTCATGGGTATTGTGACATGTACACACACACACACACACACACACACACACACACACACACACACACACACAAATTAATAAAAATGACTTAGATAAAAGAAAAACAGTTTCTTAGACAAATTTAGTGTGAAAGGGCTCTCTTGAAAAGTCATCTGAGTCTGAAATATCAGTGCAAAGCAACTCTAACATAAGCACTTTTGAAGATCTTGAGCTATCATTTGCTGATTACACTGATGCACTTTTAGCTGGATGAGTTTTTTTTTTAATTTAAAAGAAACTGTTTAGACTAATAATAAAAAGTAAGGAATCCTGTATAATATCCTGTATGATACTTCCAAAGCATCTTATTATTTTTCTGTATACATTAACTTTATTCTAAAGAGTCGAGTTTAGGTTCAGAATGAGGGTAGAGACAATGCTGAAAAACTAAAATTATTGGTACTATTATATATGTAGACTGATCTACAAACTGTGATAATAAAGTATTTTAAATATAGTATCTATTATGTGCTCTGCATTTGTAATATTATTATAATTATCATCATTGCCATTATCTTTTTACTTTTTTTGGCAAATAAGTTACATTCAAATACAAGCTTACTAATATTTATTTTCATTAAAGTCCTTTTCTGTTATGTTTATGGGGTGTGTGTGTGTGTGTGTGTGTGTGTGTGTGTGTGTGTTCATATTCTCATGTGCAGGCAGTAGCATGCATTCATATGTGAACTGAGTGCCTGTGGTTTACGTTAGGCATCTTACCTGATATCAGCTTCCCTTATTCACTGAGACAAGATCTCTCTGCTGAATTCAGAGTTCCCTGATGTGGACTGATCTAGTAAGCCTGCTTGTTCTTTGCTTTCCCAATGCTTGAATTCCAGATTGGCAGCCCACTGGAGGTTTTATATGGGTCCAGGGAATCCAAAGTCCATTTTTGTGCTTGTGTGGCAAGTGCTTTATCTACTAAGCCATTTGCCAGTTCTACATGTCCTCATGTGTATTTTGTCATTATGATTTCTAAACTATTTTTCAATCAAAAGTGACAAAATTCTGTCAATTCATTGACAACTGGTTCTGGAAGTAATGAGTTATGGTGGTGGAGTTTCTTTATACTTCGAGAACACACTGCACATAGAAGTGGCTCCTCCAGATAGCTCTAACTAAAATTACAACATGCTCTGGAATGGAAGCAGCTCTTCTTCTATTGTCTACACATCTGCATCTTCTCATTGCTGACACTTTGTAGCACCACTGTCCCACCCTTGTACCTCATATGAGGTCAGATCAATGCTATCACTGATATAGATTCCAACAGGATGAGTAACAGGATGAGTCTCTGTTCATTGTTGACATTGCCCGCATCTTTTGCATATAGCAAAAGATTCATTCTTTTCATAATTCAAAAATGAAGCATCATGTATCCCTGTTCACTTACATGTTTTGCCAGAGCAACAGCCACCAGGCAGGTAAAGATGAAGTACTTCATGGTTACTTGGTCCTGTAGAAACATGTATAGAAAATGAATAATTAATTTTATCATCGAAATAATGAAATAATCATTTATCTATTATTATACATGTGATGGATAAAAGGAATGAAGATGAATAAAATAGGATATGTTGGGGAATTTTATGAATACAAGTAGAAATATCACAATTAATTTTGAAACTTTTTTTCTCTAACAGGAGATACTTAAAGCCACGTTTGCTAAAAGGTGCCTGGTTTATTCAGAGACATCATAAATTCCTAGAACTAATCTCAACAGGTAGATGTTTTGTGAAGGATGATTATTAGAAGGATGAAATATAACAGAAACTCCTCTTGAAATTGGATTTTAGGTGAACTAAAGCATAAAGCCTTGTTCCTTAACAAAAAGAAGTAGTAGATGGAAATGAGCCCTGGCTGAGAGTCAGGGATCCTGAATATCCTGGCTCTTCCCTGGCTAGAAGTAAAGCTGAAACAAGCTACTGAGTATTATCCATCTTCATCTAACAAGCCTAATGCGTGAGCCCTGAGTCCACTGTTTCTGAGATTGCTCTCAGCCAGAGCAACCTCTAATTCCCGTAGCCACAGAGAAGTCTGAAAGTTTCCCTGACAGCCTGTAAACCAATTTCTTCTCTCTGTTTAATCAAATTAAAACTGAAATAAAATTATTCTAATATCTTCTTTTTACATTTTACTCTAAAGACATTATTATTTATTTGTTTGTTTTAAATCCCGACTACAGTTTCTCCTTCCTCTCCCCACCCCCAGCCTGTCTCCACCACCTGCCTCCCCTCAGTCCACTTCCTCTGTTGATACCTCCCATGGGTATCAACAAAGAATGGCATAGCCAGTTGTGGTAAGACTAAGCACTTCTTATATTTAGGCTGGGCAAGGCAATCCAGTATGAGGGATAGGTTCCCAAGAGCCAGCCAAAGCATTAGGGACAGCCCCTGACATTGTTAGAAGTCACACAAATAGACCAAGCTACACAACTCTCACATACATGTAGAGTTCTTAGGTCTTTCTCATGCAGGCTTCCTGGTTGTTGGTTCAGATCTGTGAGTTCCTATGAACCAGCTTAGTTGTTTCTGTGGGTTTTCTTGTGATGTCCTTGACCCCTCTGGCTCCTACAATTCTTCCTCCCTGTTTTCATCAGGATTCTCCATGTTGGCCTAATGTCTGGCCATGGATCTGTGCATCTGTTTCCATCAGTTACTGGATGAAGGCTCTCTAATGACAATTGAGGTAGCCACCAATCTGATCATAGGAGATGGCCTGTTCAGGCTATGTATCCACTATTGCTAGGAGTCTTAGCTGGGGTCATTATTGTAGATTCGTAGAAGTTTCCCTTGCATCAGGGTTATACCTGACCCTAAAATGCCCTTCACTCTTTCCAGTATTCTCTTTCAGTACTCTCCCCCTCCAACTTACCCCCAACTCAATCCCTCAAGATCTCAACCCCACCTGTCACCAATCCACCCAGGAAATCTCTTCTATTTCCCCTTCCCAGGGAGATCCATGTTTTTAAACCTTCCCTTTAAAATATATTCTGAATGTTAGTTCTTAATTAGGTCCTTTCTTATCTTGATGGAAAAGTGCATTTCACATAGCTGTTTACGAAGTGATTGTTATGTGGCAATCACTATGATGGCTAGACAGTTTATAGTATCATCTGCAATCTTTAGAATAGTTTTGCAATGTTGGCAGACTTAATTTTTTTCTCCAATTTCTAGTTGAAGAAATTGGGCTAAAGCCCACAAGCAAAGTAAACAGTTGGTAGATTTTTAAAAAGCCATATTATCTTACTTACTCCTGGCTTTAAAATACAACGTCAAGATACAGTATCATAATGAAGTTTTTAGCATCTACATTTTAATGACTAAAAGTTGAGAGAAGGTAAAAGACAAATTTGTATAAATTTAAAATGTCTCAAGCATTGTATACTGTACTGATCATGGCATTTTTACCTACATCTTGATTTTTATTGTGCAGGAGAGAATGAACAGATTTTGTTAGTATATACTGTAAGAGAAAGAATATGTGAAATGTTACCTTGTTTCCCAAATGGAAGACCAGAGGAATAGGTAGATGATGATCTGCAGTGGATCATTTTCATACTATTTAAACCTTGTTCCATCATGATATGCTAATTCTGTGGTTTCAAATACCTAAAAAAGACATTAGGATTCTAAGAATGCACTGTGATTAGAAGTTGTCTTTCTGACTTTTGTTCCACAGATTTCAAGGAATCCTTACTCATAGTTTGATTGAGAACATGATAACATGGGGGCGGGGAAGCTTATGATGTATAATGGCTAATTGTATTTGAGTGTAGCCTCACCTGTTCTGTGAACTAATTTTCTGATCCTAGTGTTTTTAAAACTTTCTCCCATTTATTGTCATATTGTAAACAGTGATATTTGTGATCTCATTTCTGTCTGGAAGCTTATTTTATTATTATTTTATTTCATGTATATGTGTATAGGCCTGAGTACATGTATGTGTACCATGTAGAGGCAGGAGCTCTTAGAGTTCAGAAGAAGGAGTTGAATCCAATGGAGTGACAGTTACAGGTAATCATGGGTCCTGTGAACCAAACCAGAATCGTCTGCAGAAACAACCAGTATCTTAATTGCAGAACAAGCTCTCCAGCCCCACAGTCTCATTTCTTGATACTCTTTTGGTACAATCATAGTCTTTCTTGAGAACACCATGAAATTCCTTGTTTCTATGACTCCTCATCTTTTTTTCTGACTATGAAGTCCCTGCCTTGGCTTCTTTCAAAGAATGAATGGTAATAGCCATGTGTCACTTATGATAAGCTTAAAATCTTTACACAGCCCTAAAATAGCCTAAAAATCTCATATGATAAAAATTCTTTGCTTTACTTAGTCTGTTTCCTCACATAATTAGTTAAAATAATGTACAAAATTATGACTCGTGTATATTGATATATGGGTTTTGATTCAATAAGTAATTAGGATATCAAATATATCCTGGCCTGGGAATTCTGTCACATTCATGACACATTAAATGAAGTCACAAACAAAATTCCAGGACGTGTGAGTTAGATACTATAACTGGAAGACATAAAAACCTATTACATACATTCTATCCTGTTTGATTTGGCCATGACATGGTCTAATCAGAAAACTGACTTGGAAAAAAGATAGGAAGTTTTTGTAGAGATGGGATTCTGGTGGTACTGTGCCCAGAAAGGCCTTCCCTAGCAGAATATCAGCTGGAAGATGTAAGAAAGTAAAATGGGATTCAAGTCCAGGCCTTGAAATAAGACCACACCTGGGTCTTTAAAGACAACTAACAGACTAGTGTGGGTAGAACTGAGTAAAAGTCCTGGACCTGAACTCAAAAGAACAAATAGGCTTAAAAATACAGTAACATTATAACATTCTTACATCCTTAAGACTTACCAAGGCTTTCACCATGAAATTACACTTCTGTAATTGAGAGTCTATCAGAGAACAAACATACTTCATCTAAATAACTAAAAGAAGAACAAAACACATGAGACAATGCACATGGTTTTGAGATGTCACCTAATAAGAACAGTGATCACTGAAAGATTTGGAAGAAACCAAGTTAAGCACAGTAACTCCTTCAATTTATTATCTGAAAAGTGTTTGCAAATACCAAGAGAGAGAGAAAAGGTCTCAAGGCGGGGGTTGATTATCTAGGGTAGACATTGTTATTAATATTATAGGAAAAGGCCAGCATCACAAAATCACATCGAATGCTGAAGTGGGAGACGTGTTGATTCTACACAAGGACTTGAGAAGAAATTCTGAAATTTGATCCAGTACTGTGGTATCTTTCCAAGGCTTGATTACAATGATGAAATGTGGAGAAGCTTGGGAGTTTGGGAAAGAATATTAGAAATAAACAGGTTGAATAATGCCCAGAGCTCAAAGAAGACTTGAACTAGAGTATGGTGCTACCACCCAGGGTAGCATGTATGTATAATGCATAAGGCATTGTTAGGATTCTTAGAAAAGTATTGCTTCATTAATACAGTAAGTTTCACTCTAAACAAAACAGTTCCCTGTTCTGTATTGCTTAACAAGGCTGGAAGCAAGACTATGTGTGGTAGAATTGTTTCAGAGGCCTTCATTTGTGATCCAGAACTGAAATCAAACCAAAGTTGAAGTGAAAAATATGTGACATCCCACAACAGTAAACTTACATCATCTTTCATACAATATGAAATAAATAACTATGGAATAAAAATAGAAAATATGACCCATAATGATGTTAAGTTGATATAAACAGACATATAATCAGACAAAGCTGGAATTAGCAAACAAGCAGATTAAATACTGGTCTTTACAGTTGCTTCTGTGTGTGTCTATATCTATAGCTGCTTCAGGTCCCCGTGAAAATCATTATACATCACTGGAGTCATCATGACAGCTAAATCATAAAGAACATTACAAAAAAAAAAAAAACTCCTGAGAGCTGGCTCAGAGGTGGAGCACTTGCCTGACATGTATGTGCTTCTGTATTAAATCTCCCAACAACAAAAGACAAGATAAAACAAAAACTACAGAACAGTGTACCTTATAAGACTGACTCAAAATCAACAAAAGCAAAATGAACTACAATTATATATTATGCATATATTTTGTATACACTGTATGTATGCATATTAACACATCATGACCAAAGGAACTGGTTTAAGCAGTACATGTTTAACATTTCAAAACTAATACAAGTAAACAGGTTGGCAGACTCAAAGCAAGAAACCTATGGCCATGTCACTAATGGAAGTAAGAGCACTTGAGGATATATGATAGCTTATTCTGAGAAAAAAAAAACCATCAGGAATGAGGAATGCAAAGAAACCGAAATCCTAACAATCTGCAGCTAAAGAAGAACAAAAGCCCAGTAAGTGATAACTGAGGAACAGAACACATACATGTGCTCTGACAGCTGTTACTGGACATTATAGTGTCATGGTGACAGTATAACTAAAATAAATCAAAA